TGCTCTGAACTCTTTATGTGATAAATTGTTTATGTGTTTCATTAGTTGCTTTTTTTCAGGGATTTTTTTTCTTGTTCTTCCATTTGAAGCAAATTCCTCTGGCTTCTCATTTTTTAAAGCTTTCTCTGTCTCTATGAAATTAGGTAAAATAGTTACCTATCCCAGTCTTGAATGGGTGTCCTTGTGTGGAAATGTCCCTTTGCAGTCTGCATGTGCCTGGTACCTTTGGCAGGAGAGCTGAATCTGACATGAGCACAGGTCACATCTTCCCCCAGGGTGTGCTGGCAGCTGTCACCTTGATGAGAGGTGGGGCTGGAGATGGAAGGGCTCGAGCCAGAGCCAGGTGTGAGCTGGGGCTTCTCCTATGCTCAGTGACCATCACTGACCCATTGGGGGTGAGACTGCGTCCCAAGGTGCTGGAGAAGAAGCCCTGAGGGTTGGATCTGAGCTGATTCTTTCTCTCTATGTGTGTACTCTCCGCACTCCCAGCAATGGCACTTTTGCCCCAGGGGAGAGCAGCCCTGAAACAAGAGAGGCCAGAGTGGGCAGCAGGTGTGGGTTGGGACCCAGGCTAGGATGGTCTCAGCATACTAGTCAGTGCTTGAGACAACTCCCAATCCACTGCCTCTGCCAGTGTTACCCAAAAACTGGGTTCACCTCTTGGTGAATGTTGAGCCAAAAGACACAACCAAGCCAAGGATTGAGAGGAGGAAGGAGCTATTGTTACTTGCAACAAGTAAGGAGAGCACAAGGGATCTTTCCCAAAGCAGTGTCTCTCAGAAGAGTGAATAGGGGAAGCTAAGGGTGCATGCATATTCATGAAGGTGCCTGAATGGTTGACAGAATCCAAGCTTTAATTGATTGAAGTCACGAGGATCAGAAAAGGTCAACATCACCATCCACTAAGTTCCAGTTGATCTGGTGGTTGAGCACTTCAGGCTAATCTTTACCATTGAAACAGAACTGGGAGTCTTTACAACTTATATATTACCCTTGCTGTTGTTATTTCGCTTGCCCTATAATAGGCAATGTTTCTGCATTCTTTTGTTTCCTTAAGACTATTAGTTACTGAGACCTGTTCAAAGGCAAGCATTGTGACCAGGCTTAGATCACAAAATGGCTTAGACCAAAAAGTGGCTTCGACCAAAAACGGCTTCTTTAAGTCAAGAAAGCCATACCTGGTTCTCTGTCTCTGGGGATCCCCTACCCTATCTGCTTACAGCAGTAACGGCCGCTCTGGCCTTGTTCAGACACAGTGTCAGGTCCGAGCTGGCTCTGACCCCTCAAGTGTGCAATCTCATTGGTAAATGCAGCCTTGGCCCTAGTGGGCAGCTGTGCCAGTGCTAGATGGTCCAGGGCACATGCTGTGATAGTCACAGAAAACTGGCCAGAATCCCAGGCAGTTTCAATCTGCTTCCTCCACCTTGTTTTGGGAGCAAGAAAGTTTGTGTACATGTTCCTCAGGAGCAGAGTCTGTTTCTTACAGCCCTTCTGTAAGTCCCACTGGTTTTCAAGTCAGCCAAGGGAGCTCAACTTCCTAGGTGCCTAATATGTGGTTTGAACCCATCATTCCCCAGGGAGGGTCTCCAAACCCATGATATACCCTTCGTTTCTGTGTCTCCTATTGGCATGGGTCCCGACCTGATTGACTCTCTTCCCTTTCTGCCCAACTCTGTGTGGATCTTTCTTAATGGCCTTGGTTGTAGAAGAGTCTCTGTTTTAGTCTCCAGTTTGTTTTCAGTGAGAATTACTCCACATGTATATGTATTTTTGATGTGTTGATGGAGGGCGGTAAGCTCAGTGTCCTCCTACTCTGCCATCTTTTAAAAAAAATTAATTAATTCCAGCAAAAGAAACCATAAGCAAAACAAAAACATAACCTATGGAATGGGAGAATATATTTGCAAAATATGAGACTGCAAGGGCTTAATTGCCAGACTATATAAACAGCTCATACAGATTAATATCAAGAAAACAAATAACCCAATGTAAAAATGGGCAGAAGACCTAAACAAGCAATTCTCCAAAGAAGACATAGAAATGGCCAATAAGCACATGAAAAAAAGGTCAATATCACTAATTATCAGAGAAATGCAAATCAAAACTACAAAGAGGTATCACCTCATACCAGTCAGAATGGCCGTCATTCAAAAGCCCACAAATGATAAATGCTGGAGAGGGTGTGGAGAAAGGGGAACCTTCCTACACTGTTGGTGGGAATGTAGTTTGGTGCTGCCATTATGGAAAACAGTATGGAGATTCCTCAAAAGACTAAAAATAGACTTGCCATATACTCTAGCAGTCCTACTCCTGGGCATATATCCAGTGGGAACTTTAATTCAAAAAACTACAGGCACCCCAGTGTTCATAGCAGCACTATTTACAATAGCCAAGACATGGAAACAACCTGAATGTTCATCGACAGATGACTGGATAAAGAAGCTGTGGCATGTTTATACAATGGAATACTATTTGGCCATAAAAAGAATAAAATAATACCATTTGTAGCAACATGGATGGCCCTGGAGAATGTCATTCTAAGTGAAATAAGCCAGAAAGAGTAAGAAAAATACCATATGATATCACTTACATGTGGAATCTTAAAAAAAAAGGCAAATGAACTTATTTACAAAACAGAAACAGACTCACAGACATAGAAAACAAACTTCCGGTTACCAGAGGGGGAAGGGGGTGGGAAGGGATAAATTGGGAGTTTGAGATTTGCAGATACTAACTAATATATATAAAATAGATAGGCAACAAGTTCATACTGTATAGCACAGGGGACTTTACTGAGGTATAATTGATAAAAATTGTACATATTTAGGTGTGACTATTTTAGACTCCTCATATAAGTGAGATCATGCAGTATTTGTCTTTCTGTGTTTGGCTTATTCCACTTATTATAATGTCCTCCAGGTTCACCCATGTTGTCACAAGTGTCAGGATTTCCTGCTTTTTTAAAGCTGAATAATAATGTTAGGATCATAAACTCTTGACCCTGTGTCACAAGAAAAAGATGTATGAGAGGTTCACCCTATAGCTTAAACTGCTTCCTGTCCTCTTTCCTATAGACCATGGTCTCCAGGTCCCTCTTGTTTGAAGGGCTGACAATTTTATTTTCCTTTGCTATAGGTTTGTCATAGGGATAACACAGTTCTAGAAGGAGAGCTAGATGCCAGCTATTCCATGCATTTTAAATGCATTTTTGAAAGTCAGAGAAAATTTATCTGGTTTTCAAAACTTCCTTCCTCTAATATTTATGTGGACCATTTCTGGGCATATTCTGAACTGACTCCTCTCTCTTCCCTCATGGTTTTCCCCTGTCCTGGTGACCTGGCAGAATGCCTCTGTTGATTTTCTATGTTTGTCACCCGTGAGCATGTATGTATATTTCTTCCTCCTTCCTTTGCTTATTATTTATTAATCTGTGATAATTACTTATTTATGTAGGTCACTTGATTTTAAATCATAGTTTTACAAAAGTTAAGTGGATGAGCATTTGTACTCCAAAGGGCAGGAGAGATGAACAAAAGACATAACGTACACCACAGTGAGCTGGATTAGGAAATAAACATGGACCTGGAATCTCTTCTTGTACCTCCATCATCACCTGCCTTTTTTCATTTTAGGAATTGTCCTGATCTCCTGTTTTCAATGGCCCTTTACTATTTTAAAAACCCTTGTGATTGTTTTAGACTCTGCTACCTTTAAAGTGAGGCAAGGTTTGTTTGCTGCTTTCAAGCAGGAACCACAGTGACTCTAGAACATGGCTAATCTAACCAAACTGGAGACTGGAGTCTGAGAGTTATGGATCCAGACTAAGCCAGGCCCCTGATTGGTCAATAAATTTTTACTGAGCACATACTATTTGTCAGGCATAATGTTTGGAAGTGGAGAGTAAGACAGACTGAGACACAACCCTAACTTAGTGGTCAAAAGTATTCCACATCAGGGTCACACTGGTCTCATCTGAAGAAAAGTATTGGGGAGAAGGTACTGCCTACCACGTGGATGTGAATCCATCATTTAGGAATTGTGTTCATCTGTTAGTAACAGACACTTAATAAGGATGGCTGAAATAAATCAGTAGGCTATTTTTCTTTTTTTTTTAGGAAGAGGTAGGCAATCCAGCAGTGGCCTGACAAACCCATGAAGTCATCCAAGTCCCAGGTTACTCCTATCTTGCTGCTTTGCCCTTCTAAACATACAATTTCCACCTGAAAGTTTGCTTCATGGTTGCAAGATGGCCACTGCAACTCTAGCCATTGTGTCTGCATTCCAAGCTGGAAGAAAGAGGAAAAGAGAAGAGGAAAGGGGCAGAAGAGCACTTTCCAGGTGAGTCAACTCCTTTTTAAATGACCTTTCCCAGAATCCCCACCCAAAACTTCTGCCTACATCTCATTAGCCAAAATTTAGTCACTTGATCACCCTTATCTGTAAGGGAAGATCTCAACAAAAAAATCTCATTTGAAAGTATTAGTCCAGATAATTATTATATTGGCCCTGGTACTTTTAAAGTTAACTTTACTGGTTCCTTTCATCACTCAATTATCTAAAACAATGGTCGTCTTTCACTTAAAATACATAGTTATTAAAATTCTGACTAAGGAAGAGGAATAGTCCAGAAGATGTGTTGAATAAAAAAGGTGAATTAATACTAGGGCAAGGAGAAAGAAACTCATATAAGTGACCCTTAATTTTGTAGTTGGCCACTTCTGCTGCCAGAATTCAAGGGTATAAAAGGATATCTCCTCTTTATGCTATTAAGACACACCCTTTTGTTAGCTTAATCTTTAGCACTTGCTTGAAGTAGTGAGCCATTATAATAGGAGTTGGAAAATCTTAAAAGCAGAGCTGAGGCTTCCCTTAAACGGAGAAGAAATTCTGCCTGTGGACAACAGCTTTTGCCTGTGCCTATGAAGATCTACTCTGCTCAAGATTTTACCTTCCTGATTGAATGCTCTATGGAACAGAAGTATGATAGTATATTTACCATCAGAAACAAAGCAAGCAAGATACATTGGGACAACATCCTTAAAGTACTGAAAGGAAAAAAAGAATCAACCTAAGATTCTATACCCAGAAAAAGCATTTTCCAAAAACAAAGACAAAAGAATACTTTTCCAGACTTACAAAAAGTGAAAGAATTCATCACCAGCAGACCATAACTATAAGAAATGTTAAAGGAAATCCTTTAGGCAGAAGAAAAATGCTACCAAAGGAAATATAGATCTACACAAAGAAAGGAAGAGCATTGGAAATAATAATGACATACTAAATATCTAATATTTTCCTTATTCTTTAAATATCTTTAAAAGATATTGACTGTATAAACAGAAATAATTTAAAATATAGTGTGGGTTTTATAATACATGCAAAAACAAAATACATGATAAATATCACAGTGCCCAGGAGGGGAGAAACGGAAACACACTATTGCAGGGTTCTTAAACTATGCTTTAAGTGGTATAATATTACTAGAAGTTTTACTATAACAAATTAAAGATGTATCATGTAAGCTCAAAAGCAACCACTAAAATAACAAAATAAAGGGTTACAGCTAATAAGGGAAAAAAGGACATAAAATGAAATTGTAAAGGACACTCAGTTTGTTCTGGCTTTGGCCAATGGTAGCACTTTCAGGCTTGTTCATGTGTCACTTTGACATACTCTCATCTTTTTTTGGTTTTTTGAACACTTCCTTATTTTCTAATACTATAAGATGCTCTGTGTCCTGGTCCTAAAATCAGCTATTTCTCTAAGGATTCCTGATTTCTTTTATAGCAGAAATTAAGGTCTGGATGTGCTTGTTGCTATTGGGTGGCATTGCTTCTAGGCCCTCTCAATGAACAGAGATAAGTAATACATGTATGTATACTAACCTACATATACACACATACCTAAAGTGACTTCTGTCTCTATTCATATTTGTATTAAGGTAAACATAAGTTCATACTTACGACTCAGTCTCTAATCCAGTATCATATACTTCATTGCTGCTTTCCTTTCTTGATTATCTTTCACTTTCCTCTCTAACAGAGAGAAACCTGGACATACCATCCATCACGCATTTACTTATCCATTTAGCCCCTGTATACATGTAAAGTGATTTGAAAGATTATATCCACACAAAATACTATACACAAAAGTTTATAGCAGCTTTATTCCTAATGGCTAACAACTGGAAGCAATGAGGTTGTCTTTTATCATGGGAAAGGATAAACAAACTGTAGTACATCCAAGCATAGGGATACTATTCAGCAATAAAAAGAAATGAACTATTGATTCATTCATCAACATTGATGAATCTTAAGTGCATTTTACTAAATGAAAGAAGGCAAGCAAAAAAGGCTACACATTGTATATATTGTATAATCCCATTCATGTGACTATAGGAAAGGCAAAATGATAGGGACGAAAAACAAATTAGTGGTTGCTGAGGGCTGGGAAGACTTGAGTTGTTGACT